CAGCATGATTCAGTTGGAGGCCATCCCATCGGAACAACCCCCTCCTTCCTCAGTACTGATGCAAATGTCCCATGAATTTTAAATCTGTTTCTCCCACGCCAATCTTTGAGCCCTGCATTTACCTCTTTAATCTTGTTTACCCTGTGTCAATTTGCTCATGGGTCAGGCAGTAATCTAGGGATTACTACCATTTTGGTTCTGCTTTCTAATTTAGCCCCTCACTGCTCATATTCCCTCAGCTGAGCCTCTTTCCTCTTTGTACCTACACAGACCACAACAATTGGATCTTCCCCTCCCATTCCAAGTTACTCTGCAGGCCAGATGAGCGATCCTGAACCTGGGCAACACAACCTTCAAAACTCTTAACTCTAGTCTCGGAGAACAGTGACTATGCTAATCCCTGATTACAACTGCATTTCTCTTTTCTTCTTCCTCTTGAATGGTTCCCTGTACCGTGGTGCTGTGGTCAATTTGCTCATCCTCCCTACAGTCCCCAGTCATCCACACAGGGAGCAAGAATGTCTAACAAGTTTGAGAAACTCCAGGGCTGAGGCTTCTGGAACACTGCCTGCCTTGCTCATAGACGCATCCTCCTGTCCCTGACTGCTAACTGAATTTGAGGTGGTTAATCTAAAGGGTGAGACTGCTTCCTAAAACACAGCGTCCAGGTAACATTGTCCCTCCCTGATGTGGCTTAGTGTCAGAAGCTCAGACTCCAGCTTTCTTTTTTGCAAAAATATACTTTATTCATAAAATAGCTTTTATCTATATTCACAGCTTCTAAAGTAGTTCAGTACAGTCTTTGCATATGAAGAAAAACAAATGTTGGAATTTGACATCCCCTGCAGTTGTGAAAACTGAAGACATTTCTTACTGGCGCAGGACACTGTTTACATTGCGGAAACGAGAGGGTCAGATAACTGCTCATCAACTCTGAAGCAGAGTTGCTCTAGCAACCAACACTTCTACAGATGTGGTCACTCTGAACCATAATGGGGTCCATCAGCTCCCACATTATGCAGATACAACACGTCGCCTGACCCGGCATCCTCATTTTTTAAAAAAATTATTTGGTTCTTAAATGTTTTTTTTTTAGAAACCAAATTTGGTCTTTTAGTTTATAGCCTACGGATATTTCCCCTATTTACCTTCAATCTGAAAATAATCATAATAGTCAAATTAGTAGCTATCACCAACCAATGAACTTGTGGTTTACCTATTGTGATTAGCTGTAACTGATCCAGGAAGACAACCCAGTGCCAACAACTTGTGTGCTAAGGAACTTTGCAGACCAGCATTTTTGGACAATTTGATTAATACTTATTTCTGAATTTTATTGTTATGATCCCAGTTGATGTTACTACAAGTCAAGTCAAATCCCACGTTGAAATCTGGCTTGATAGATCATATTTGGTTTTAACAAAGTGGTCTCTGGCTGAAATATAAAGCAAATTCTGCAACATTTGCACACTTAACAATAAAACAGAAGTTTATTAAGAACAGAAAATAAAATAGAAAAAAAATCAAACCTTCTGCTTGTAATACAAATTCAAAGATCTTTTAAACTTGCAATAAATCTGTCATCCTAATAATCCTAACACTTTCCTTTTTATATAATGAAAAGAGAAAACAAAAGTGCTTTTATATAGTACCCAAAGCGCACAATGATGCAAACCCAAAACACAACATGTAAAATACTCTCCTCAGAGTTCCTATATCTAACACCTCAGTAAGTTTATGTCACTTGTGACATCAGACTTTTAGATTGGTACTGAAGATAGCTGTTATAAACCTGAGCTTAACTGTGCTCAGCTTTAAGTAACCTCTTCAGTGTTTTATGCCAATACTTCCGCTCTGGGACTAACACTAACTCTTCACTCTAAAGTAACCTAGTTCATTGTATATCCTTCTCAGAAGCACTGGTTTATACAGCCTTCCTCATCCAAGGTCTTCATAGGTCCTGCTCCAAATTGAAACAAAAAAGTTTCTTTCCAGGCTTTGGCTGTTTCCCTTCAGCTTTTAACAGAAACCAGTTCCAGAACACACTAACAAACCTTGAGCCCTTGTTATTTACCTTGCTGGGTCGTCAAGCAAAAAATCTTTCAGTGGTGCACAAAACTCATCCATTCTAAAGCCAGACCTCAAAACTGTTTTAAGAGAAATCACCATGGCTAAAGAAGTATCTAAGTTAGTTATTAACTTCAGACACACTGAAAACCCACAGGTTACTAACTCCAATCAGAATTCCAAACTTGCAGTAAATGATATATAATCTTAGTTTACACCATAACTGTTATTTGGTCAAAGTGCTTTAAAGAAAACATTCTCTGCAGAGCTTCATATTTTTCCCAAGCTTGGAAGAAGTGTGTGTCTGTGTTTTTAGAGAAAGATAGTTGTATATATTTGCACATTTTAGATCTTCTATTACAAATCTTTACTAGCTTTTTACAGCAACTTACTCAAGTAACAAATTTTTAAAAAAAAGCTTCAGGAACCTGGTTGACTTGTTCGTGATACTACCGAATAATAGTTCAGCACACCTCCTGTTTTGAATTCAAACTTTGTTGTAACACCTTATCTTTTTCCTGTTCCTTTTGTGAACTCTGCTTGTTTATGGTAGTTCTGATGAAGGGTTTCACATCAGAAACCACAACTTGTCTGTTTGCTCGACCAATACAGATCAATACTTCCAGCAGTATTTTTGTTCCCTCCACAGTATTTTGGTTAGGACTTCTGTGATGAAATAGTGGTGTGAAATTTTGATTCCCCTTGAATTACGCAAAAAGACCTTGGCTTTAGATTAGGCAGGTCAAGCAGCATTTGAGAGAGAGAGAGAGAGAGAGAGAGACAGCTTTTCATCAGAAGCAACAACGGTAATGAAGTGATATGAATTTTATAAACGAGAAGGTACTTTTAAAGATCCAAAATTACATGTTACATTTGAATAGGAAAGGAGACCCCAATAAATCATGTTAAATAGCTTTGACATACTAGAAAATAAACTTGAGTCAGTTGAAACTTGATCTAATTGACCTATTCTGTCACATACGTCCTGTGAAATACACCAATCTCACTCGAAGGGTCTCTGGTTCAGTCACCTGAGGTCTGCTTTTAAGTCCCTGCAATATCAAACACCTGATCATTATCCTGTGACCCTGCTGGAAAGTGCACATGTTTGAGACAGAATCAAGCTTGGCTGTGATGCCTATTCAGGCTTATGTGCCAATTTTGACTTCTTGAGTGGTATTAATTGGATAGCTCCAAACGGTTGGGACATACATGAAGGATCAAATTGGCTCGTGTGCCATTTCTATGACTCTACTTGCTTGCCACTGTGAAACTGTGCTATGGACTTATACATTTAATGGAGTGTTGCTGAGCAAAGAGACCTTGGTGTGCAGGTTCATAGTTCCTTAAAAGCAGACTTGCAGGTAGGTAGGATAGTAAAGAAGGTGTTTGGTATGTTTGCCTTTGTTGGTCAGTGCATTCAGTATAGGAGTTGGGAGGTCATGTTGGGGCTGCATGGGACACTGGGGTACTGCATGCAGTTCTGGTCTCTCTGCTATAGGAAGGATGGTGTGAACCTTGAAAGGGTTCAGAAAAGATTTACAAGGATGTTGCCAGGGTTGGAGGGTTTGAGCTATAGGGAGGAGCTCAATAGGCTGGGGCTATTTTCCCTGGAGTGTCAAAGGCTGAGCAGTGACCTTTTATAGAGGGTTATAAAATCATGAGGCGTATGGATAGGGTGAATAGGCAAGGTCGTTTCCCCAGGGTGGGGGGAGTCCAAGACTAGAGGGCATAGGTTTAAGGTGAGAAGGGAAAGATTTAAAACGGACCTAAGGGGTGACTTTTTCCACACTGAGGGTAGTGTGTTTATGGAATAATCTGCCAGAGGAAGTGGTGGGGGGCTGGTACAAATACAACATTTAAAAGGCATCTGGATGGGTATATGAATAGGAAGCGTTTGGAGGGATTTGGGCCAAATACTGGCAAGTGGGACAGATTCATCCAGGATATCTGGTCGGCATAGACGAGTTGAACCGAAGGGTCTGTTTCCGTGCTGTACATCTGTGACTGTATATGACCACTTTTCTTTTCTTTCTCCCAGCCTCCCCAAAAGCAAGAGGCAGAAGGATTTTTTTTTTTTAAAACTATAAAACAAATGAGAAAATGCTACAGACGCACACACATCGACCTTTGATATGCAGAGTGTTTTTATGTTTGGAATTAGAGCAGCTGGAGCAAATCCTTCTGTCTGCACAGTACTGAAGCTGCTAAAGTTGGCAGATGTCAAATGAACTGTGAGTTGGGTAACACATTGATCTATCGAAGTCTTTGTCACTGAAATATATACACCAGTGAAAGATATCTTCAAATGATTGAATTACCTATGTTACGCCAGAAGCAATTACTAGTGGCATATGGAGTTGCAAATGAGCATAGGTACCAGTCATTTTTTTTTGACCATCTGGAAATGGGATTAAAGGGGCCCAGTGAACACTGCAGATGGGGGTCAGTTTCATCCAAAAGTACTGCAAGGATTTTGAACTCCACTAATCCAGATGGCAGTACTGTACAGTACCCTCATTAGTGAGGGTAGGTTTATTAAGGCTGCAATGAAATCATTTGGGTCTGAACCTGAGCAGACGGGCCTCAAAACATTAAGTTAATTGTCTGCGTTTCTTTTTGTTCATGGAGAGATTTAAGTGCTAATTAAGTCTGCTGGTGTCTTTCAGTCAGACAATATACTAATCGCAATAGACAGAAGATTTGATTTAAATAAGTGATATGCTTTCTTCAACAAAAGATAATGTCATGAGCAAGTTGATTTGCTTTCAGTTGTAATTGATAGTCAAATCATGTGCTGTGTTTCACTTTTAATGAGATATGAAGAGTGAATGAGAGGATGCCATCATGATGTTGCCCCCACCCCCGCCCCCGCCCAAAAAAAGAGATAAATGCACAGGGTTGAACATACTGAATGTTTTTGTTCTCTCAAGCAGGCTACCAGAGATCCCCTCAAGTCTGATGTTTCCAAAAAGTGGTTAGACAAGACTGCAGAAGGCAGCTGTTTGATTGAAGACATAGAGAGAAAAGCAAGGGAGGGAAACTCCAGTGGTTTTGGTAAGGATTTGTTTGTTTTTTAAATGTATAGGGATGTGGTGGGAGGGGATTATAGTTATGTCTTGCCTTTACTATGATCACTAAATGATATGGAAAATGTAGTCAGTTTGGACGGGTATCTTTTTACATTCTGGAGGAGATATTAGTAGCATGAGCACAGCTTTTTTTTTAAAAAAAAATTGTGCTGTCATTGCTTCCCATTTGGTAAAATGAGCATTGACATTTGAGTCATTAGCTTTGGACAATGAAAATTAGTTAGCACCATATGTATTTTAAAGAATGTTGATTGATTGTGCTTGCTTCATTGTGAAAACTGCTGTGATTTGTATTTATAGTATAGGGAATGAAGTGGCTCTGTAATACTGGGTGCCTTACTGATGCAATAAATGTCCTGATTACATTGCATGTCGTTTCCACAGGAGCCTGAAGCATTTCAGCCTCTTGGCCACATAATCAGCTGTTGCAAGTTTTATACTGATGTTGGACTGAAACTTGCTGTCTTGAGTGACACGAGTGCCATTTTGTTTACATTATCAGTTGACTGACTTTGGAATGATCGACGTGTTGTTGCAGCGATTGCCATGATTTGTTTTGCCTTATGGCAAATCTCATTTGTCAGTATGAAGATAGATGTTTGGGGGAAATCCTCCTTAATGCCCCAAGGGTCGGTGTCTCCTTCCCTTTTTTGAGTTAGAATATTATTAAACATCCCCACTAATGATTCTATTAGATTTTAATGGCTTGTGTGCTTTAGAACTGACTTCCCATTGTTTATATCACAGCAGAACATTATATTCAGCCATCACCATAAGTGAAATCGTTTGAAGGGATGTCTTTTTTTTTTCTGGGGAATGGATAATTGTTTAGAGTAACCTTTGATTCCTTTTTGCTTTCTAGAATGCAGTGGTCCCTAGTTATTTACGGGATAACTGCATAGCCTAAGGTTGCCAACTGTATCAAATTCCATTAATTTCTTGCGTTCACAAGATTTCTTCTGATCAATCTCCAAATTGATCACATCACATGCTATTGCAATATTGGGAAAATCTGGCATTTTCTCTGACAATGAAATCTGCTGAACTGTGAGTGAAAAGTCAGCACTCATTGTTAGCTAATGAGAATGATCTTTGGGAAATAAGCTTGCTGTGGTTTGAGACTTGAAATAGATAAATGTACACGTGCTGGATTTTAGTCAAGTTCTTATCTGCGCAGTATAAGGTTTAGTTGGGTTAATCCCTGTTGGATGTGATACCCACTTTTTTTTTTGGGAACGGTTACTTAAGTGTAACTGAGGCAGCTTCGTTAATCTTCCTTCAGCATTTCCTGAAGTAAATCACTGGCTCAGTATCTTTTCACAACATGAATTGCTTATACTGAATATTCCACTACCCAACTCCCTTTTGTCTTCAATCCTCAAAAGCAGTTTAATAGTGGTATACCTTCATCTTTTTTAGGATAGTTTCCCAAGATTGCCAACAGCAACTCACCAGAAATGTTTCTTTTGAATTTGCTAAGTTTACAACTACTGCGCTTTGAATAATTGTTTTGTAATTGTTCTATAAGCTTCTTGCATACTTTCAAAAACTCTGAAATGGGAGCGGACACGAGCTGGGATTTATTCCTACTGTCTTTTGGCTTTCCTGAATGCTTCATTGCTTATGAATCATGTGGTATCTGGCTATCTTCTGTTCTTTTCTCTCCCTACCCCTGAAAAACATGTAAATACGAATGCTTTAAGTGTCTAATACTGCTTTACTTCAGCCTGAGGATTTCCCAGCTGTGTTGCCTTTGCTTTTTGAAGTCTGATATTTTGCCTTGTGGTTGCATTATATCCATCTCATTTATCAGTGAACCGTGTCATTTTTGTAGACTTATGGTTGCAATAGACATTGTTGAGACGTGCGTGCTAATGTGTAGGCTTGTTCTTGTTGGGTAGAGGAGCAAAAATTGGTATTGGGATCCATGTTTGATCTCAATTAATCGTTTGACTTATCCCATGTACAAACTATATTTCTTCCACTACCTCCAATGAGAGGTAATTAAAAAGAGAGCTGGAGCCAATTTAGTGAGCAGACCATTCAGCCCCTTTGGGCAAGTGCTTGTGATGTAGTGGTAGTGTCCCTTGCTCTGAGCGAGGATACCTGGGTTCAAATCACACCTGCTCCAGATGTATGTAATAACATCACTAAGTAGGTTGATTTTAAAAGTATCTTTAACCCTTTCAAGTTTGCTCTGTCATTCTAGATCATGGCTGATCATGTACCTCTGCCATTTTCCCTTCACTATTAATTCAATAGAAACTTTTTGGAGTGTATGGAAATTTCAAGGATAATCCACCTGTGGTTAACTAGAAAGATAAAAGATAATATCAAACTTTTAAAAAGCACCTGTGCAAAGGCAGGTGGCAGATCAGAGTTTTTGACAGAATATTGGGTCAAAATCCTGGAATTCCCTCCCTAATAGCATTGTGGGTCAACCCACAGCAGGACTGCAGCGGTTCAAAAAGGCAGCTCACCACCACCTTCTCAAGGGCAACTAGGGATGGGCAAGAAATGCTGGCCTGGCCAGCAACGCCCACATCCCACAAATGAATTTAAAAAAAAAAAGCAAAGAATAGCCAGATATTAATGAGGGGAAAATTGTGTGCAAGAGAAAGTTATCCAGAAATACAAAAACAAGTATATTTAAACATAAAGAAAATAGTTAACGAAGTGAATATTGGTCCTATAGGAACTAAGTCTAGGGACTTCCTAATGGACAATAAGGAGAATGGCAGAGTGATTCCCCAGATAGTTTGCATCATCTTCACTGTAGATGTTATAAGCAATATCCTAGAAGTAGACATTAAATTGGGAAATGGAAGCGTGGAAGGAACTCAATAAAATGACAGTCACCAGAGAAGTGGTACTGAGTAAATTATTGAAACTAGCAAACATCAGACCTCATCCGAGGGTCTTAAAAGAAGTGGGGCTGGTGTGATAGTTGATGCATTGGTTTTAACATTCCACAACTCCTCTCTTCAATTCAAAGAAGGTCCCATGAGATTGGATCATAGCAAATTAAACTCCCATTCAAAAAGGGAGAGATGCAGAAACTGGAAACTACAGACCAGTTAGCTTAATATCAACTATTATTAAAGACCTTCCAGCAGGTACTTGGACAAGTTCAAGGTAATTGGGTAGAGTCAGTATGGTTTTGTGAAAGGGAAGTCCTGTTTCATTACTCTGGGAGTTCTTTTGATGATATACCATGTGCTCTGAATACAGGGGAAACCAATGGATGTACTTCGCTCAGATATTCAGAAGGCACTTGATAATTTTAAAATAAAAGCTCATTGTATAGGGCAGAGGAGTTTGTTTGTCTGTTTGGCTTAACAGAAAGCAGCAAAACGTAAGCCACATTACCTTTCTTAGTACCTGCCGACAGAACCGGATCATCACCAATGGACTACAGTCCACATTCGGGCCTTCCCAATTTGGCCCCAAACACGACAATGTCTACATTCAGAACATTGAGATCCTTCAAAAACGTTTCTCACTGCGACTCCTGAAACACACACGCTTGCAGCGATGCACCAGCATCTCTGGGCACTACAATCAAGCCTACCCCAGCTCGGAGCCTCCCTCTCCCAGACCTGCAAAGGACCTCTCCTGTTTTTTATTCTTCGTAGGGTCCACAACCTGAGCTCACAATTCTACTTAGCTTTATTGGACATTTAAAAACTGTAAGTACAGTAAACTTACTGGTGCCTGCCACCCAAAATGGGCTTCCTCCACCCCCCAAATCCCCAATCCTACGCAGGACCTTCCCCACAATGTGCCCGCCGCCATTGGCCATGTGGCCACTGTCGGAGCACCCACAGATGACGTCACATCCGCCGCCGGCAGATATACCACTTTCGGGACAGCGAATGCCATCGACACCGTTGCTGATGCCACCGCCTCCATTTCCGAGGCCAACACCACAGACACTGAGGATGCACCTGCCAACACCGCTGCTGCCGACGCCGACGTCGCTCCGCCCACCGCCTCCACAGCCAGCAGC